CTTCTCCCTATAAAAGCTCTCTCTCTCTCTCTCTCTTCCTCGGAGAAATCGGCTTTGAGCGTCAACTCGAGTCATCTCATAAACAACGATGTCGGGATTTACGATTTCTTCGTACAGCAGCTCTTCTTCCTTTTTCTGCTGCTTCTTCTTTTTCTTCTTCTTCCGCGATGCCTTCTTTTTTTTTTTGTTTTCGGGCGAACAGGGCACAAAAACGATTCTGACTGGATTGTCTCTGCTCTCTCTCACACTCGAGAAATTTGTCTACTTTATTATCTAAGAGATGAAATTTCGGATACGTGAGAAAGAGAGATAGAGCAGAGATTCTGAGGATCAGAGATGGGGACGAAATCGGGAATCACATATCGGGAGGATGGTGGTCGTGACGATAAAATTTCATTGCGTGAATAATATATATATCGTGTGTGTATTTCTTTTCGATATCTATCGGTGGATGAATTGGACATAACACTTGTGTATCAAAAATAAAATAAAAAAGACAGATACATGTTCTTTCACACGCATATCATATATGAAGAAAGTGCGAGAATATAGCGTACTTGCATGCGATTCAAAGGAAATAAAAGCTAAGAATAAAAAAAATTGATCATGCGGCTTACTCGTTCTCTACATGCGTTCTACATGCGCAATAATAACATACATTCTTTTTTGGCATTTGCATGCGATATTGCGAGCGGTGGTGTTGTGCACTAAATACCGTGTGGTGTTGTACTGTGCCTAATTTTTTTTTTTTTTTCGCTCACGTACAAGCGATTTTTTTATTCTACATTATATCATATATACCGTGAAACCATTTTTCGTGTGATGATACTGTGCGATGAATCGTGCCGAAGAATTGTGCAGATATATAATAATATAATACAATATTTTATCTCGGCTCTCGAGCTTGACGTTGCTACATCTTATATTTTCATATTTGTTCTTACGAAACTGCGACCAGTTCTTCGTTATAATCGCACCAGTTAAGTATATTTCACAGCACCTATTAGTTCGGTATAAGTATCGTTAATGTTAGCAAACCATAAATCCTTAACTTTCGCAGCTCCGCAAAATTCGCTCAATGTAATATCATCATATCTTTTAGCAGAGCAGCTCCAATTCGATCTTTACACCCCCGACGTAAATGTAATCGATAATAACATCGAATATATTTATACCTCCTCTTTTTTTTCCTTATTTCGCGTGCGCACAAGCGGTTCACACAGGGGTGGTGTATACTCCTATGAGCATAGTAGTGCGTGTCACGAAAAAGGAGAGCTAGCAAACTGCAACGTCTGTAGTAATACAAGCGCGGTAACAAACGCGCGAGCGCGACATAAAGCCGACGTATAGATGTGTGTACATGGGCTGTGCCGCGTTAAACGGCGATACACCGTTGAAAAATTCTTAAATTCATTTAGAAAAACTAGAATTTGAACGTTTTAATTGAAAATTAATGTTTCAGTGTGTAACAAAAACTTCATGAAAATTTAGTCTTTACAAGTTCTAGCATCCATCACTAGATGGCGAGTACCACTATCTCCGTAAAACTGCAAGTGGCAAAGTAAAAATTATAAGTAAAAAAACATAAATTTGCTAATTTTCGATATTCTGCGATTTATCTATTTATTTGGGTCAAAGAACTTATGTATTTGGATCAAAGAACAGGGTCACAATTAGTTTTTTTGATTCAGTTCTTACTTTTTAGACCCGAAGTATCTAAAACTACACGCGGAGTAAAGATCGAAAAACTTCAATAAAAAATCAAAAAATATTAATATTAAAATATATATTTACCAAAAATTCATAAAAATGCAGTTACATACATAACTTTTTATGCAGAAATAAATGACAAAGTTCCAATTTTGTACTAAAACTCAAATATTTCCATTGAAAATTAATCTTTTATTATCAATTGAATTTTTGTGTTAATTGTACAATAATTCTATAAAAATTTAATTGCAGCTAAAGCCAGCACCCACCGCCAGATGGCGTGTACCTATATTTGTAAAATCAGCAAGTGACAAAGTAAAAATAATTGTATAAGTACAGTTTCAAAAGACTCGTTTGGCTGGTAAGTTACATATTTATTTGTATTTATTTATGCATTTATTTGTTCAACACTTTTACATAAAAGTAAATAATATATAATTATTAAATAGTATAAAAAAATTTCCTCCGCATTCGCATTGACTAACATAATTTAAACAGTGCAAGTAAAATAATTACGCGTAATCCGTCTCACTGAAAAATGAAAAACGTAAAATTGGAGTTCTCCAGGCGATATTCCCAGAAGATATTCACGGAGACTATTATAGCCTATCCAAAAACTTTAATAACTTTAAACTCCGCAGATTCGTCCAATACAAGGCCCTCTAAAGATCTAAAATTATGGGAGAATTTCATTTTTCACACATCGCGCTTCTCGCGGTACAGCCCATATACGTACAAGAGATCGCACGTTCTTCGTCGATTCGCAGCAAAGAGCTTGCTCAAAATGGCAAATCGTTTGACACTCGCTGAACTTCTGTTATATATGGTATTATATACAGGGCGTTCGCGCGCGCGAGCGACTGTTACCTGGCACGCAGCCGCCCCCGCTGCAGCAGCAGCAGCAATCTGCGATCGACGTCCGATTTCGCTCGAGCTTTATAACCTCGCTCCTTCTCCCCCTCTTTTGCTTTCCGCCAGAGAGAGAGAGAGAAGTCCTTTGTATCGCAAGTAATTCACACGCGCGAGACGCGGCGTCAAAAGAGCTTTCGGCGCGGGCTCAAAGAGTATAAACGCGTATACGTACGTACGTATAAGCGACTTGTATTTATATACTCGCATACACACACACGTACGTGTACGCGTCCCCCTCTCGCGTCCCCGATCGTCATTGAATTTACCGCGTGATCAAAGCTCGCAGCCGCACCGCACCAGCTAAGGGGTATACGAGTGCAAAAAAAAAAACAAAAAATAAATAAATAATAATCCACGCAGTCGCTCGGTTAGACCCCGCTGTAAATTTTCCTTTATACACACAGCGCGCGCACGGCTGGCTGCTGGCGCTGCTTTTGGTTTCCGATTTATAAAATTTACTTTGAGACTCGTACGTACGTACCTACTTTCTTTTTGCCGGTGTCGGCCGACCGGTGTGCCACTAGCTCTGCTTTTGCCGCGGTTATATACTCGCGCGCGATCGATAAGGAGTAGTAGTATAGTTGCAGCAGCAACAGCAGCCAGCAGTCTCGAAGAAATGAACTATCGGCTCTGCGGACGGTAATTAACGATAAGACGCGCGGCGACGCTGCGTGTGCCTATATATATATATAGCAGAGAGTTCGTGCAAAATTAAGGTCGCGCGCGCGCCTATCTGCCACCGCGATAAAGCTTTATATATAGTGTCGCGCGCAAGCCGCAACCGAGGCTAATTAGGCAACGAGGCGCCTCTATCGTCGCTGCTGCTACGAGGTGTTCCCTCGTTCTCGAGGCTTTTCGGGCGGCTGAAATCGTGCGTATCGCAAAATTATTAACGCGTGTGAGTACGAACGCGGATCGTTTGAAAAAAAATCTCCAGAATTATTATTAAAAAAGGATCAATCAGATCGTGTATGATGCTTGATGCTTTTCGATTTGATTTTCCAATATATGCATAAGTCTCTCCGAGTATCGTTTTCTCGTGAATTATATGCAAGCGTTTATATAATGCTACATTGAGTAATGAATATTCAGTCGAATTTCGTATGTACGCTTGGCGTACGCGATACATATATACGGCTCTCGTGTAATTGATTGATCATGTAATTTAGTTTTTGATTTTGCGGCCTCGGTATAATGTTTGCGTAAGTTACACACTGCACATTTGCTGTAACGAACTCGCGGGGGAAGGCGGGGGGCGCAGATTATCATTTTCCAATAATTAAACTATAATGTTTAACGGGTGAACATTCAATCGCAGTCGCAAAATGTTATGTATATTTTTCTGTTTTGTATATAACATAGCTCAATGTGTAAATATAAATAGTCAGGCTCTCGTATGATAGCATAAGTAACAAATTATTATTTTTTTTTCGTAAACAAAATATTATTACTGACGAAACGAGTGTGTTTATCATCAATACTTGTAAAAGCAGCTACTTGTTCATGAATAATCAATAGCCAAATATATATTCAAAAGCACATATTCATGTTTATATTAATAATATGCGTATAGCATTACGGTTATGATGATATATTTGTTTTGGGTCAAGGTTTCCTCTGTTTTCATTGTATCGATAGTTTACTCAATATACATATGTAAGCAAAATTAAACACTGAAATTTTATATAGTTACGATATACATGATGCTGATTAGCGTAAAAAAGAAACTCTACATGTATTACACATGCACGTTAGGATGCCCCAGAAAATAAAGCTTGAGATTTTTCATGCAACGTAGAAAAAAAAGTTGCATCGACTTGAACAATAAAATGATATCGAAATCAAAGTCAAGGCGTAACTTTTTATTAACGCGGCTGATTGGCTGTTCAATTTTTCATTCTCGTGAGACATCCTGATGTACATGATAACGTAATAAATTTAAACGACATTCATGAGAAAATAAAGTTATATATCTTGCAGAATCCACAGCAATTACTGATGTAATAAGTATAAGAATTCTGCATCCTATTATAACGTAATCAACATTTATAAGTTTGCTTACAATCTATGACTTACACATCACATTGAGATTTTGAGAAAAAAAAATTAAATATTTTACATATCACTTGGATATTAATGTATTATACATTATACGTACGTTCTCGTTAAGCCTGATAACCATTATTATTAATAATTATCAAGCCGATTCGTAATGAAATGCGTTGATATACTCAACGCATTCGAATAATGTATATCGTTATAATTGTTGAAATACGCGCGACGTGAATAATTTGGCGCGTAACTCTGCGGTGTTTAGGAGTAATATAAATCCGCAGGCATGTATACGTGTTGGTGTGCCGATGGCAATTATTACTCACCGACGCAGGGATTGTGATTCACCATGGAGAAAATCCGGTCGCAGCGCTTCTTCGCGCCGTTGTCCGGGCAGATGCAGCCGAACATAGGTGAGAGGCGCAGCTGCGTCCATGCCTCGGTGCACGCGTCGCTGAATTCGTTCGACCAGCAACAACAACGACGCAACGCAACATGAGCAGAGGTGGACAGGCAGGCACAGCAGTAGTAGAGAAACGAACATACAGAGAAACAGATAGAATATGTTTTTTGTTTAGTCAAAGCTCCGTTGGGCATGAAAAATTGTTTTACGAGTGCACGGGCCTCTTTTTTTTTTGTTTTTTTTTTTTTTTTTTTTTGGCCGAAAAAGTGTAGAACACTTTGTTCTTTCCCATTGCTCCCCCAAAAACGTCATAGCCTCGTCAACGTTTAGTTGTGCGCTGGGTAAAGAGCCAGAGGCAAACGTATACACACAGCAGCACGAAATATATTCGGCACTGCTGGGGGGGTTGCAAAATTTATTCGAGTGATTTTTTCCACTCTTAATTCGTTTATATTTGGATAATCACTTAGCGCGGATAAACACACCATTGGGCGCAATCAAACGTTATATATAAACAAATAATATGCAAAAAATGTTTGTAACGCAATGATTTCATAATAAAATTAAATGAAAAAATTTAAATTGAATATTTTCTCAAATTCCTCTCTCTCACTCACTCTCTGGCATTTTTAAGAACGCAAAAAAATAATACACCTCTTATTTTTTTTACTCTCTCCCGAAAGAATCCTTGAATATTTCTCGCGCGCGCGCTCAAATTTCGTCGATAATGATTCTTTAATAATAATTCATCTATCCTAACAACGCGCGCACATCGCATCGAAATCACGCCCGCGCCACTATATTACAATAATGTAATAGGTAGAGCTGCTGCTGCGGAGAGAAAGAGAGAGAGAGAACCAAGAATCCGTTGAATTTTGCAAAATTCCCAAAGGATGATGAAAATTTTAATGTGCAAGTTTCGGCAAGCTGCTGCTGCTGCTGCTGCTGCTGCTGCAACAACTGCACTAGGCTACTGCCACTGTGCTGCGAGCTGCTTCATATTATATATCGTTAATCGAGTTTTTTTCATTAATAGGATATAAAATTCTTAAGAAGTCCACGCGCTCGAGAGAGAAAAAGAAGAATGAAAGAGAGAGAGAGAGATCCCAGTCTTAAAAAAGAAATATTGAAAAACTTTGCCCTACCCTGTGGAACGCAGCAGCGCCGCGCGCCGGTAGAGAGAGAGTGAATCAATTTCACAATCAAATCGGAACTTCTCGAGCGCACAAGCGAGTAGGATAGGTAGTTGTAATAGTAGTAGCTTCAGCTTCAGCAGCAGCAGCAGTAGCAAAAAAAGGCTTTCAGTTTCAAAACTAATTTCATAGCTATATAACCGGGGTAAGACGAACTGCTCATCGCTATCTTTCTTTCTGCCTCTCTCTCTCCATCTACCTCTCTCTCCCTTCCTTTCTAGTTTCAAGCGAAAATGGTCATTAAGCAGTCCGTGAACAGCTACATCAGATAGGCGACAGCGGCAGTCACTACGCTCCGAAAAAAAAGCAGCAAAAAAAAAAAAAGAATTAAGATCCCGAGGCCGAGCGTAGGAGAGAAATGGGGGGTGTTGTACAACGTGCGCAACGTCTGTCGGAAATTTTTAACTCTAATTAGCTATTAAAGCTCGCGCAGCAGCGACGACGTGCACGCGATATTCGCGCAACTCGCCGCCCATGGCCAGAGAGTTTGAAAACGTAATTTTGCAGCTGCAGCAGCAGCGCTACTAATAATCACCGCGCTGCTGCCCTGCGAATCGTCAAATATAGCGCCCCGAAATCATCGCGTCATCGTCGTTGCGGCGCGCAAAAATTTGCTGCCCTTGTAAACGAGACCCAGTTCCGTTATTACTATACTGTACGTGCGGTCCATATCGATGCGTGAACGAACTTTGGCGGATGGGGTGGGGGGATATATAACTGAATTGTTATTGAATGATGTATGGAGTTTGCCTCGTTCTCTCTCGCAACCAACGCGCGGCGATGAATTAGCTATTTTAATTTATAAATGACTGGACTACTGCGCGCTGAGCATTTGAATACGTGTATATATACGGCTGACAGTTACTTTTCATTATTATATTATATATACCTATACTACTACCACCACCACGGTCCCTCCCAGCTATTATTGTCAATCTAGCTCTCGTCCGCGCGCGTTATTATTATCATTATCCATGTCGTAATCATCATCATCATCGTCGTCACCGTGTTTACGCTGCGCTGATGTTTGAATAATTGCATTATTAATATCAGCGTATTTACTTAGCTATTTCATGTGCGCCACACACTACTACTCGTCATCGCACCGAGCGTCTGACCAAATACCGACTCGCACTACTGCCAAATAGATTTTTACATTCATAATAAAAGAAAAAAAAGATAAGATCACGTGTTAAATCGTCGAGTTTCGATCTCATGTCTCGATCAATCATTTCATAGAAAGACAAATATCTCGAAAGGTGTATTGAAAAAAAACGCGTTTATACGCTTTACTTTTTTTATACCGCAAATGATCTTTACTCGATCGGAGCTAGCAACGGCGACTTTATGTCAACTTGAGCACGCACACGCACACACACACGCGAGCGAAATCAATGATAAACTTTTCCACCACCACCACCACCGTCGCCCTTCACGTGTAATACCTCACTTCCTACCCTGCAGCTTGCACGCACACCCAGTCCCGCAGCAGGCCTCGTGCGATCGCAAGCCCATAAAGGGTACAATGACACATAAGTGCCTATATCTGCTCTAGCTCGAGCTATGGGCATAAAAGAGCTTTCAAAAATCAACGAGCGATAAGCTCGTTTCCTCGCTCGCTGGGAATAAGCGGGCCAATTATCGCGCACGCACGCGTCAAACTTGCAGCCAGCCAGTCGCGCGCGCTCGCGCCAGTCTATGTGTTTAGCGTGACTTTCGTGCATCCCCGCCGCCGCCGCCGCCGCGCATGAGCTCAGCACCAGATATATAACGTTATTATGCTATAACTGAAATTTAACGCAAATGTGGGTATTAGATTACGTATTTATTACGTACGTGTGTGTGCACTATCGGCTCGTCAGGAGAGAGAGAGAGAGAGAGAGGGAGATATTCAATCTGAATTATGTTATATACTTGCGCTTGCGAATGATTTATAAAAATCCCACGTTGTGCGACTGCAGCAAGATAAGAATGTTTATAAGGCTGACACCGATTTTTCTCCAACACTTATAATATATACGTCGCGTGTCATCTCGGTATCTCGTTTTCGCGCGCGTTGGTTTATACTGTTCTTGTGTGTTATGCGCGCGTACGAAGATACGAGAGCGCGACTCTTTTTTTTTTCTTCATTGCATCTTTTCAACTATAAAAAGTAATTGCGCTCGAGGAAAGAAGTGTGCATACGACGACGACGACGACGACGACGACGACGATAGAGAAGGAGCTGTTGTTGTGTATACGAGTACGCGGGCGCGTTTACACAATAGAGAGAGAGAGAGAGCGCCAAGCTGTTTTGCAAACAAAAAGGGAGGCGAAGAGAATAAAAAAAAAAAAAAAACGATTTTTCGCAGGCGCATTACCCATCAGCGTAACATAATTTTCGTCTATCAAAATCACATTCTCGTAGTCGTCTTCTTCTACTTCTTCTTTTTTTTCTTGCAACGATAACAAAGATGCGCCGCTTTACTATATATACCGAGACTTTGATCTTTCGCCGTGTACGAGCGAAAGCAAAAGGTTGTTATGCACAATTTTTTGCATACGATGGCGAAGCCCATGTGTGCGTGCGCGTTATATGTCTTCGTCATTATGTCGATGTGTACATACGAGATTAATATCGCACACATGGCTCAAGTGGATAGTCTCGAGTGTTTTTCCTTTTTTTTTGTTAAATCAAAGGCATCGGAGCTACGCTATAGAAAATTGTCGTTCTCGAAAATCAAAAGCAGAAATATTTTTATTTTTTATTTTTACACCCATTATACAATCCTTTATACGTATCGTGACGATGTTGTGCACAAATCGTAGATTGGTGGGTTCGTTGACTTCGGCACAGAGAGAGAGAGAGAGAGAGAGAGAGAGCCGAAGTACGTGGCATCCGACACTGATACACAACAACAACAACAACAACGAGAGACGCGCGCAGTGTAGCTCGTCGTATGTGCTCGCTCATCGACATTCAGAGCTTCCGGTTGTAGGTTAAGAAACTTTCAAGTAATTAGCGGCAAACAAGCCCCGAAGCAGCATCGCGGCAGTGGTGGCGGTGGCGGTACGACGGCGGGCGTCGTCGCGCAAAATCGAGCTCGCAGTGCTGCTTCTGCTGCCGTTTCCTCCTCCTTCTCGGCTCTATATACCCCTCGAATCGAAACTCTCGCACTTGCTTTCAAGAACACGTATATATAGGAAAACGTAGCAGCAGCAGCAGCAGTGGAACAACAAGAACAACAAGTTCGAACAACAAATAGGAAGTATTGGTACACGGGTGTGGCGTAGCCATAATACGTTGGGATAGCTGTAGTAACGTTATACCATCTTTTGGTACGTGATCCAGCTGAGAAATCGTTCGCTTTCTTTCCTTGCTCCGCCAACAATTGGAAACATCGCGAGCTCATAAGAGGACACACGCGCGTAAGGTGTATGCATACGCTTGAGTTTCCAAATATAATCGCGCGTACGTAGCTCTGAGTTGGTTCTTACACGAGTAGCGTGTACATGTGTGCATGTAGTTTGCTTACTTTCATAAATATCCCACGATGCTGCTGCTGCTCGTATAGAACAAAGCGAGAAAGGCGTGAGAAAGGGAGAGAGAGAGAGAGAGAGAGAGAGAGTAAAGCACCGGGTATCTTATGAATTTTAATGATTGACCCTGAGGCGGACACTATATTCTGCTATGTGTGTTATGTGTATACCTACCTACATGCACATTCCAGATCAACGAACTATAAGTCTTACAACGTGTGAGTCCGTGTTTACTCCGGCGATTCTACTACTTTTAGCTGGATTTGAGTTTATCGATCCTTTTCTTTATTTTTTTTTATTCATTGCGTTTGTTTGTTTGTTTGTTTTTTTGTTCCGAGG